CACACACGCATCCACCCACCCTCCCACACACACGCGCACACACACATACAGTCACACATTTTTGCGCACCCACACAACACTTACACACACACTCACACAAACACACAGCCTACCCCTCTACCCACACACGCAACCCCCACATCCACCCACATACAAACCAACCAACCAACAAACAAACAAACAAACTACAAGATTCTATTCCTTCTCTCCCCAGGTCCTGCGATCCATCATCGACGTAAACATGCCCAAATTCCTGGCCCACGACATCCCGCTGTTTAACGGCATCATCTCTGACCTGTTCCCCGGCCTACAACTCCCCGAGGCCGACTACAAGGTCTTCCTGGAGGCCATGGAGCGTGTGGCCGAGAGGAAAAACCTTCAGTTTGTCCCGTTCTTCTCTGAGAAGATTATCCAGACCTATGAAATGATGCTGGTGCGACATGGGTACGTCTTTGTGGCGTGCTGTCAGCTCAGTTAGGGGATCGTGTTGGGAAATGATGATGGGAATGACCCGGGTTCGAATCCCAAACAGGTGTTCTTGGAGTTGTGTTTGCTAAAAAAAACCTCAGGGTGCTACACAATGGCAACCAGCAAGTATCAAAGACGTTTTTAATGTGACCTTGTAAAACAATTCTTACTGCAAGGCTCATGCTCAATAAAGTTATCTTTTCTTTTCTTTTTCTTTGACTTCTTTCTTTATTTCTTCTTGTACTAATCCATACCTGACTAATAGTGAGCTCAGTGAATATGATGCAAGAAAGAAAAACGTCCAGTTTGTTGCGTTGTTCTCTGAGAAGATTCTCCAGACCTATGAGATGATGCTGGCGCGACACGGGTACGTCTTTGTGGCGTGCTATTTGCTCAGGTTGGGGGGGGGGTTGTGTTGGGAAATGATGAGGAGGATGGCCCGTGTTCGAATCCCAGATGGGTTCTTCGGGTTGTGTTGGCTGCTCAACAACCAGCAATGCGGCGCCACTGTTTTAGTTTCAGTGTGTGTGATGTTAGGTCATAGACTTTTTGACATGTCATCGTAAAACAATTCTTACTGCATGGATCAGTAAAGTCATCTTTTCTTTTTCTTTTACTTCTTTTTGTATTTTTTCTTGTACTAATCTATACCTGGCTAATGGTTATAAGCTCTGTGTCATGCAAGAGAGAAAAACCTCCAGTTTGTCCCGTTCTTCTCTGAGAAGATTCTCCAGACCTATGAGATGATGCTGGTGCGACACGGGTACGTCTTTGTGGTGTCCTGTTGTTTAAGATTTTAGTAGAGGTTTTACGGTGCTCGCAACTGCATTAGGTTATATGAGCGCCAAGGGGTGGATGTCATCAGAGAAGTCTTTACAGGGAATCAGACTTACTCTGCTCAGCTCGCTAGCTTCAACAGCACAATGGCTTCTTCTTTCCTATCAAACATCTATCGTCTTTATATCACCTCCTTCTTTTTTGTATTTGTTACTCCCTCGTAACACTTCTAATCTTCAGCATTTATATGACCTTATCGTGTTGCAAGTGCTGTAAAACACTTACTAAAACTATAGACCTACGAAATGATGCTGGTACGACACGGGTATGTCTTTGTGACGTGCTGTCAGCTCAGTTAGGGGGATTCATGGTGGGAAATGATGTAGATGGCGTTCGAGTCCCAAAGAGGTGTTCTTGAATGTGTGTTGTTTGTTCAAAAACAGGGTGCTACACAGCAGCGACAAGCAAGTATCATAGACTTTTTAGTATGACCTTGTAAAACAATTCTTACTGCAATTAAAGTTATCTTTACTTTTCTATTTCTTTGACTTCTTTTTGTATTTTCTTGGGGTACTAATCTACCCCTGGTTAATGGTTATAAGCTCCGTTGATATCAGGAAAGAAAGAAAAACCTCCAGTTTGTCCCGTTCTTCTCCGAGAAAATTCTCCAGACCTACGAGATGATGCTGGTGCGTCGTGGGTACGTCTTTGTGGCGATATATGACCTTATGCTGTTGTGAGCGCCGAAAAACCTTACTAAAACAAATACTTTGTGGCATGCTGTTTAAAAAAAAATTTAGTAAGGGTTTACGTCGCTCACAACTGCATAAGGTCATATGAGCGCCAAGGGGTGGATGTCAACAGAGAAGTCCTTACAGGGAATCAGGCTTACTCTGCTCACCTCTTTAGCCTCAACAGCACAAAGTCTGCTTCGACTATCAAGGCACCCCGGAAATAGAAATCTACAAGAGAGTAACAAACATACAAAAGAATCAGAGGAAGAATGATGATAGTGAGGATGAGGGAAGAAAAAGCAGCAGTTCTCTCTATCTCTCCCTCAGCTTCATGCTAGTGGGTGAGCCGTGGGGTGGAAAGACCCAAGTCCTACGGACACTGGCAGAGGGCATGACTCTAAACACTGTTTCTCTCTCTCTCTCTCTCTCT